GATTTCGGATACTAATACTGGATTCCCTAGGAATTCGGCCAGAAGGATAATAAATTCACACCCTCCAGCAACCTGTAAATCTCTCTGTCTATATATGTCTGTATATGCTTTATGCAGTTATCTATTTTTTCTTTGACACAGTTGACCACTCCTCCTCCTCAAAAACCTCTATTTTCTTGGTCTACATGACTCTACTCTTTGTTGGTTTGAATTGTACTATCTCACCGCACCTTCAGAGTCACTTACAACTCTACTACTCCTCTTACCACTGGGGTCCCACAAGGTTCTGTCCTTGGACCTCTGCTATTCTCAATCTACACTTCTTCCTTGGGTCAGCTGATAGCTTCCCATGGTTTTCAATACCATTTCTATGCTGATGACACATAAATCTATCTCTCTACTTAGCTCACCCCATCAGTTTTCTCACGTATCACCGATTTACTAACAGACATATCAGACTGGAAGTCACACCACTTCCTAAAACTCAATCTATCTAAAACTGAGATCATAATATTTGCTCCCCCACATGCCTCTTTACCTGATTTCTCAGTCAGGATCCCAGAACCCATCCCCACATGCCAGGGTGCTAGGGGCAACCCTAGATTCTGAACTATCATTTCAGGCCCACATCCAATCCCTATCCAATTCATGGTGCCTCAACCTCCACAACATCTCCAGAATACACCACTTTTTTAACCAATGATACCACAAAGCTCTTAATTCACTCCCTGGTTATCTCTCGCCTCAACTACTGCAACTCCTTTCTTATGGGATTACTTTTCATAAGCTATCCCCCCTCCAGTCCATCATGAATACTGCTGCCAGGCTCTTCCACCTTACCAACCGTTTAGTGTCTGCTACCCCTCTCTGCCAATCCCTCCACTGTCTTCCACTTGCCCAACGAATAAAATTCAAAATACTAACAACAACTTACAAAGCCATTCACAACTCTGCCCCCAGCTACATCACCAACCTGGTCTCAAAATATCAACCAAACTGCTCTCTTCAATCCTCCCAAGACCTCATGCTCTCTAGTTGCCGTGTCACCTCCTCCCATGCTCACCTCGAGGACTTCTCCCAAGCTTCTCCCATCTTATGGAACACCCTCCCCCAATCTGTCCAGCTATCTCCTAATCTATCCACCTTTAGACAATCCATGAAAACCTTCCTCTTTAAAGAAGCCTATCCTGCTTCTAACTAGCAAACTGCCTTTTATATCCTCCATCAGCTCATCCACCACAGTTATTACCTTTTGTATCACTCAACCCTTCCTCCTACATTGTAAGCTCTAACAAGCAGGGCCCTCTGTTTCCTCTTGTACCAAATTGTATTGTAACTGTAATGTCTGCCTTCATTTTGTAAAGCGCTGCGTAAACTGTTGGCACTATATAAGTCCTGTATTATAATAATAATATTGTATCTTTCCAAAAATGCAGACAAAAGCTAGAACTGAAGGCTGTTGAAGCTGGACCAAAGGAAGTGGCAGGAAAGCAGATAGTCAAAGTAGTCAAAGGGCTAGATCCCAAATATATGGCTATTCCCCTAGTGGCTGATCCAATAAAATTAGAATGTAAAAATTGTCCTGTGGTGAGTAAACTCATCAATATTGTTACATATAACCTTTATATGAAATATTATTTTTATAAAATACAACAAATAGTCCATGATGTAATTTATTTCATTCTTTTTCTTATCAGCTTTCAAAGCAATGGCAGGCCATTCGTAAAAACCTGGAACCTGAAAATCTTTCAAAAGCGACTGCAGCTCATAGCTTTCTGTCACTAATTCAAGGACTTCGTAGAGCTAAAAAATCAGATATTCTAACACTTCTCAGATCAGAGAAAGCACATGTGCTGTGAGTATTACTTTACATGTACTGTTCTGATGTTATGTTACTGTTAAAATTGTAAAATGAAGGACCAGTGCACCTAGGAGTCAGGATCTTCATTATGTAGATGTTCTGCATGAGCAATCATAGCAGAAGTTGGAAACATTTAAAGGAAGAATAAGAACAATATTTGTTAGTGCCAGGCCACCCAAAATTTCATAAGGCCCTTTGGGCTCTACTTAGTCTCATAGTACACAAAAGATGCTACACCTCTGCTTTTGTGCTAGGTGTGCCACAGAGAAAGAGGGAATTACAAAAATTATTGTTTTTTGTTATGTTATGGTTCAGTGCATCCAAAACTGATACCAAATGCATACTTCTACCACATTGATGTGGTAACCCAACTTTTCTACTTTCCATTACACTCTCAGACATCAAAATACTCCAAAGTACAGAAAAAAATGTTTTTTCTTTCAAATTGCAGAGAGGTAATCATCTGACATTGGTATTGAGATACCTGTAGTGGAGTTCATATGTGTGTTCACCTGCCATAGGAGAGGGTTCCACTTACCCTGCTGGATTTTTTATTTTTCATAATGGAACAAGCAACAGAAGGTATTGGAGTATGCAATGTTGAGGGGAAGACTTGAAGAGATATCCAGAATAGATTCAGGAATTTTGGTGGGAGAATCTCACTGTCCAAGTAACCAATACTTAAAGGTAGCCAGATGCAGACCACCAGGCTTCACCTGTGACTAAATCAATTTTAGGTGGACATATCCTAAAATGCATGCATTGGTGTTCAGTGTTCAATCCATGAATGGCAAAGGTAATCTTTTATCACACTTTTTTTTAGTTTACATCTAGAATTATTTATAGGATGGTCACTGAAAGAGACTGTTTGGCAGTTTTTTCTAAAGCAATTGCATTTACCTGTTGAAGAATTAATATGATTTTGCTCAGCAAGCACAAAGTTGTGATTAAACCTCTTATATCCATGCTTGTTCAAGCCAACATTGAGATTAGGAAACGGTAAATCCTGCAATGTGGCTGAATCATTTTCATTAACAGTGACTCTGCAAAAAAAATATGGAAGGTTTAATTTGCTTTCATTGTTTTAAGCCAATCCATTTCACTTTTTTACAGTTTTTCAATGTATACCCTGCAGTCTTCCAGCAGCAATGCAACTTCTTAATTATTCTGGGATTGTACACTGAAGCTAGCATCTTAGAGCTGAACTCCAGGTTTAAGATCCCGCTAAATATACAGCTGCAATACATATATACACTATATTGCCAAAAGTATTGGGATGCCTGCCTTTACACACACATAACTTTAATGGCATCTGAGTCTTTGTCTGTAGGGTTCAATATTGAGTTGGCCCACTCTTTTCAGCTAGAACAGCTTCAACTCTTCTGGGAAGGCTGTCCACAAGGTTTAGGAATGTATCTATGGGAATGTTTGACCATTCTTATAGAATCACATTTGTGAGGTCAGGCACTGATATCGGATGAAAAGGCCTGGATCGCAATCTCTGCTCTATTTCATCCCAATGGTGTTCTTTAGGGTTGAGGTCAGGACTCGTTGCAGGCCAGTCAAGTTTCTCCACCCCAAACTTCCTCATCCATGTCTTTATGGGCCTTGCTTTGTGCATTGGTGCGCAGTCATGTTGGAACAGAAAGGGGCCATCCACAAACTGTTCCCACAAAGTTGGGAGCATTTGGAAACTGTCCAAAATGTATTGGTATGCTGACACCTTAAGAGTTCCCCTCACTGGAACTAAGGGGCCAAGCCCAACCCCTAAGAAACAACCCCACACTATAATCCCCCCTCCACCAAACTTTACACTTGGCACAATGCAGTCAGGCAAGTACCGTTCTCCTGGCAACCGCCAAACCCAAACACATCCATCGGTTTGCCAGACAGAGAAACATGATGCATCATTCCAGAGAACATGTCTTCACTGCTCTAGAGTCCAGGCATGAGTACCCCCAGGGAATATGCAAAAATAGCATTGAATAGTAGTAATTCTTATAGAGAGGATAAAATTAGAAAATGCTTCAACATTATAAAACAGAAGCAACATATGGATCAGCACAGTGAAATAGTGGTTAGTACAGGGGTGGGCAAACTTTTTGACTTGAGGGCCGCAATGGGTTCATATATTGGACCCGGGGGCCGGACCCATAGTAATTCATCCCCCATAGTAATTCATCCCCCATAGTAATTTCATCCCCCATATAGTAATTCATCCCCCCTATAGTAATTCATCCCCCCTATAGTAATTCATCCCCCCTATTTATTCATCCCCCATATAGTAATTCATCCCCCATAATAATTCATCCCCCATAATAATTCATCCCCCATATAGTAATTCATCCCCCATAGTAATTCATTCCCCATATAGTAATTCATCCCCCCTATAGTAATTCATTCCCCATATTGTGTCAATTCACTTACCTTTGCTCCGCGCGTTCCTCTCGCTGTGTTCCCGCGCCGTTCCGGTCTTCAGGGCAGACTGTGAGAGGAGCCTAGCTCCCCTCACGTTCGTCACGCTGCCCCACCTACATCCTGACAGCCAATGTTTGCCACGCTCCGCGGGCCGGATTAAAAGGTCCACCGGGCCATAGTTTGCCCATTGCTGGGTTAGTACATCTGCCTTATAGCACTTCGGTAATTGGTTTGAATTACTACCATAACACTACCTGCATGGAGCTTGCATGTTCTCCCTGCGCTTGCGTGGGTTTCCTCCCACACTCCAAAGACAAGCTGATAATCTAATTGGTTCCTATCTTAATTGGCCATAGTATATGAATGTATGCATGTGAGGCAGGGTCCTTATACTGTTAGCTCCTTTGGTGGCAGGGACTTCTGTGAATGTACAATATATTTAAAGCATTGTGCAAATTGTTGGCGCTATATAAATACCTGTAATAGATACGATGCGAAGCTTTGTGTCAAAAACTGTATGCTTTTCCAGTGGACCAGATATAAAATATTAATATCTATTTCCCCACAGTCCTCAGCTGATTGATGCAGTGGGACTTTTGCTCAGACTCCTGAATCTTTGAAGGCCATTTTGGAGTTTTTGGACTTTGGTAATGGAAGTAGACCTTTGTTACAAGAAAGATTCTTATGTGCCTGTGGCCTGGCTTCACATCCAGATGAAAGTATGCTGACAGCTCTGATTGTAAGTTAATTTGATATTATATTGTGTAATCTAAAATGGGTTTTTTTTCATAATAGCATGGTGCAAAAACCAGTAGCATTCAGTCAGCCATTGAAACCATACATTTATGGGTATTCCAATGGGGGAACTACAGCCAGTTCTGTAATCACTGCCCCCTGTTTAAGTATCACACTGTGAGCAGCTCTGCAGCACTGACTGTTCATTCACAATTTGTATAGTAAACTAGAAAAGCTACAATTTCTGGGGAAATTGTGTGAAGTGTTCTTGCCTCCATCAGCAGTCTACAACTGGAGTGGGCAGAGTAACTGGGTGGAGTGGCTTGTCACTCTGCTGCCTGCTCACACACCTGGGTTCCTATGGCAACTCACTCTACAGCAAGGGCAGAGAAGAGCGGTTAAAAACAAACTGTTCCAACTTGCTCACTTCACTGGCGGTTGCCATCTTCAAACGGTTGTAGTTTAAAAACTATAATTCCTACACTGAAGAGCTTTATATTGTGAGAATCAGGACTATGGCTTAGCCGTGGACATTTTTAGTGGCAGCAGGGAAAGCTGAACGTTTATGATATAAGATTTGTGTAGGTGGGCTTGAAAATGAGGGAGTGATGGCAGTTTAGAAATCATGTCCTGATTTTTCAGCTCACACTCTAGCTTTTGTCAGCTCCCACTCTAGTTTTGAACATTCCGCCATTCATTCCTATGGGAACAATTTCACCACAAAAACGCCGATATTTCGTGAACCATTCGGCGAAACGTTCCACAAAGTAATAGCACACCAATCGGGAACAATCCACACATTTCGGTATATTACTGTCTATGTAGTGCAAAAACTGTGGGAAGAGTTAGGGTGGTAAATTTGGCTATAATAATAAGAATATATATGTGAGATAACAGTAAGTGGTCTTGCCATGCAAGAACACTTAATCAGTGAGTGCTACGGGGCTGTGTGATAGATTGCTGCTGCTGCTAATAAATATACACTGCACTGCAGAGCTAACTGATCTTTACCTTTTGTGAATGGAGCTGACCCAGCTCTCTGTTGTGCTAATTGGTGGGGCTTGTCTCCAAAATGCAGCGGGGGAGGGAAGTCGAGCTATCCAATCATGCTGCCACTCAGGAATTGTAGGAGAGATCAGAAGAGGAAAAAGTGCTATATACACTTATGCAGGCCATAGATGGGTCGAAAATCGGCCGATTTTTCGCTGAAAATAAAATCGGCCGATTTTCGGATCGTTAGTGGGCTATTTGTTTGGCCGTTTTTCGGTATTTTGGCAGTTTTTTTTAATCGGTAAAGTTGGAAAAAAAATCGGCCGATTTTCCCGGCAATAATGGGCAAATCGGCTGATTTTTTTACTGATAAAAAAAATCTGCGCATGAGCAGTGACCTGCAAGAGGAAGAAGAAGATGAAGAAGAGGAAGAGGAAGAGGAAGAGGAATTCCAGCCCGGCAAAAAGTGTCCCTGCAGAGAGCTCTGCTATTTCTTTGACAGTTCTTTGACATTTACAGAGGTTGCAACATTGTATCTATTTGTTTCCGAATAAAAACATCTGTATCCTAAATGGATACAAATAGATACAATGTTGCAACCTCTGTAAATGTCAAGGAACTGTCAAAGAACTGTCAAAATAGCAGAGCTCTCTGCAGGGACACTTTTTGCCGGCTGTAGACGGGATGAAAAATCGGGCCGATTTTTTTTTTTTACCATTGGTGGTAACGTCGGCCGCTTGAACGACCGATTTTTCGTTTTTTAAAAGAAAAATCGGCCGTTTTTCTCCCCGTCTATGGCCTGCATTATTCTTTAAAATAGCAGAGAGCTGGTTGTACCTCTTCCTGATAGCCATAATAATTTTATTTCTTTATGTCTAACGCAGGCTAAAGATAACCTGAATGCTGCACATTCCTATCTAAGGCATTAATAGAGCATCTTTCAGTCCTGAACTTCAATTCAGAGACTAATGCAGGCCATAGATGGGGAGAAAAACGGCAGATTTTCGGCCGATTAACGAACTATCGGTCGGTCTAAAAAACTTACCTGACCACCAATTATTACGAAAATCGGCCGATTAATGAGTAACCTATAACGGGAAATGATGTCATTTTGTGGCCTTTGTGATCCTTTTTCGGAAAACGATCGTTCGTTTTTGACCATCAATGAGGATAAAGTCGGGCGTTTTTCAAAAATTTTCCAACATCACCGATAATCTGAAAGTCCAAAATACACGAAAAACGGCCGACAAAATCGTCCACTAACGATAAGATAATCGGCCGGTTTTATTTTCGTAACGAAAAATCGGCCGTTTTTCTCCATCTATGGCCTGCATTAATAATAGTTTTTTAGTGATTTATTTTTATTTAGTTTAGCTACCAGCCCTTACAAGCAGAATTCTCTAGAGGGCTTTAAAGGCAACAGTGCCATAATTATTCGTCAGTAGGTTACAGCTGCTAACTCATCATGCATTCCATTCAATAATTCCCATTATTCCATTGTATCATGCCTCTAGGCCATATGCTAGCAAATTTCTCCCTGAAGATGTCATAAGCCACAAATAGATAATTTTCTAACAACACATTCATTTTGTCTTTGACTAAGCATCCCTTTATAGATAATGCTATGTATATATCTGAATATAGCAGTCCATGCTTAAATGTAAGTGTCTAATGTTATCACATAATGTAGTCCATGACAGACACTATCAGCATTATTCCATAATAAAGTACAAATGAATGCTAACCAGGGGCGGACTGACCATTTGGAAACTCGGGCACTGCCCGAGGGCCCGGGGTCAGTAGGGGGCCCCATGAGATGCTCCTGGTACCTTTTTCATAGGCTTTTTTGAGTTTGGGCAAGGACACAGGGGCCCCATGATCCCCTATTGCCCGGGGGCCCCATGAGTTGTCAGTACGCCCCTGATGCTAACATGAAATAAACTTGGGCCATCATATATCAAGTTAAGATGTCGACATGCTATCATATTGCAATGTCCTACCTTAGCAAATAGTGTATCTGGTCAAACGCATCAAATAAAAATGTCATCCAAATATACCACAGATTGTCTCAACCAAGGTTTGGAGAACAATTTCCACTGACCACCAACGTAAACTCCAATGTTAGGGCATACCGTAATTTTCACTATCTGCATTTCTTTTTTGGTGATGTTATTAATCATTTAATTTAATTACTAAAAACAATTTTTTCATATACAGCAGGTAGGTGGTAATATATGATCTGGCCTCGGTGTCAAAATACTCTAGAAATCCCACATTTATTACTTACTAAATGTTATTAAACATTGTACAATTTACTAATAATGCTAATGTAACTATGATTTGTAGGTGTAATTATATCAGCAGGGATTCCTAACAACCTTACAATTAAAGGTTCCTCAAAGAAAAAAAGGTTAGGATAAGCTGATGTACCATGATTGGGCAAGGTGCAAATTTTGACATCACTGCCACTCCATTCTACTTCCTCCAATGAAAGAACACCTTGTATTCATTGACAAAAATACAAGTCGATCTGTAAAGAGTGGCAGAGCCAACTGAGCGGCCCACTGTGGTCGGTATGCAGTAGGGCAGCAGCTTTAATACATGACTTGGAAGATCATGGTGATCACTATAGTAATGCCAATTACCAAAGCTTTTTTTCTCAGAGAATAGGTGCAAGAACTCCCTCTTTCTGAGTCTCTGCCCCTTGTCTCCACCCCTACCCTCCTCTAAACACTGTCCCTTTGTTCCACCCCTACCAACTTCTCAGTACTGCCCTTTTTAGGGAATACAGAACCAAGTATATTTTTTGTGGTGCTAAATAATTTGTATGATATTTGTTAATGATAACAAGGAAAGTGGTAAAACAGATCCCCTGCAGCCAGCAACACTAGATCCCCCAGGCAACGGTAGATCTCCACCCCAGCAACAATAGATCCCCCGCACATCAATAGACTCCCCCAACAAAAATAGGTTCCCCAACACTAGACCCCACTCCTGCAGCAATAGATCCTCCACATAACAACAATGGACCACCCACAACACACCTTCACACCTGACAATAAAAGATCTACCCCAGAATCATTAGACCCGCCCAGCAGTAACAACAGATCTCCCAGCAGTCAGCATCTCTCTCTCTCAAAAGTAGACCAGCAACATAAGACCCTCATACAAAAACAGATCCCCACCAGTGATAATATATCCCCCAGCAGCCAACATCAATAGATCCTCCAGTACACCCCACAGCCCAAACCCCTTGCCATTGCATACATTCAGTGCTGGAGGTGCCAGAACTGCATTCCCCCACGTTCCTGCTGAAAACAAGCCCTGCCAATTACTACAGTGATTTCCAATTTCACAGCTGCCCTTCAGGTATGAGATCTGCATATTAACATTGGTCTAAGCCAGACCATTGTTATAACTATGCTATTAAGATCATAACTTAAGTTCAGCTTTAAATAACCTCATGGCCAAAAATTGTTCCACTTCATATCAATATGCAGTATGGAAATTGATAAAAGGTGTTCTACTGGTCATAATTTTTTTGTTTAATTATCTAGGACATATACAAAGGAAAAATTGCAAATGAGGAGATTAAAGAAACTGTTATTATTATTATTGGTGCTCTTGTCAAAAAACTGAGCAAGGCTGGAGGCTCTGAACTACGGGTAACCATTACATTATTATTATTTATTCATACTTGTTTTCCGATGGATTGGTTAATTTTCTTTATAACAGCAGCAAAGTAGGACAAGGTACAGAAATACAGATTAGAATACAGGTTAAAGCACAGGGTGTGATAATCAATGGAATGCATACACACTATGAATTCAGTTGGAATTACTTCAAAATAGCTATAAATATTCTTATTATAAGTTCCCAAATCCCTCTTTTTAACAACTTACTGTAATTACTTATGGGCAGCACAGTGGCTAAATGGTTAGCACTTCCGCCGGGCAGTACTAGGGTCGTTGGTTCGAATTCCAACCACGCACCATCTGCCTGGAGTTTACATGTTCTCCCTGTGCCTGTGTGGGTTTCCTCCGGTTACTCCAGTTTCCTCCCACACTCCAAAGACATGCTGGTAGGTGAATTGGATCCTGTCTAAAATTGTCCCTAGTATGTGTATGTATGAATGTGAGTTAGGTACCTTAGACTGTACACCCCTTGAGGGTTAGGGACTGATGTGATTGTACAATATATATGTAAAGCACTGCGTAAGTTGATGACGCTATATAAGTACCTTAAATAATTACATGGGTGAGGGAAAGTCAATCAGGCTCTACTGCATTGCAAAGAGTTGTCTGCTAGTACATTACTGAAAAGAGAAGAGAACAGTGCAACAACCTCTTCAGTGTGACAATGTTTTTTCATTTAATATTTAGTATGTAGGGAGTAAAATGTTCACTGAGCTGTTTTTTTCAGTGTAGAAAAAAAATAAGGTGACCAACCTGGCTATGCTGTCAGGCTGGCTGCATGGATCAGAAGACTGGCCTAACAGAATTACAAATACTTTGGCAGGTAAAACAGTTTGCATATAGATAATACATGGTCTGCACATATTTTTATTAATTTACATCATGTATCAAAACAAGCATAATTTTACCCAACCAGATGTTTAAGGAAACTGAAAAGAAGTAGTTAGCACTGTAAGACTATGAATATGAGATAGATCTGTCATATACTATATTGCCAAAAGTATTGGGACACCCCTCCAAATCATTGGATTCAGGTGTTCCAATCACCTCCATGGCCACAGATGTATAAAATCAAGCACCTAGGCATGCAGACTGCTTCTACAAACATTTGTGAAAGAATGGGTCGCTCTCAGGAGCTCAGTGAATTCAAGCATGGTACCGTGATAGGTTGCCACCTGTGCAGTAAGTCCATCCATTAAATTTCCTTGCTACTAAATATTCCACGGTCAGCTGTTAGTGGTATTATAACAAAGTGAAAGCAACTTGGAACAACAGCAACTCAGCCACGAAGTGGTAGGCCACGTAAAATGACAGAGTGGGGTCAGCACATGTTGAAGCGCACAGTGCGCAGAAGTCACCAACTGTCTGAGAGTCAATAGCTAAAGACCTCCAAACTTCGTGTGGCCTTCAGATTAGCACAACAACAATGCGTAGAGAGCTTCATGGAATGGGGTCCCATGGCCGAGCAGCTGTATCCAAGCTTTGCAGCACCAAGTGCAATGTAAAGCGTCGGATGCAGTGGTGTAAACCACACCACCACTGGACTCTAGAGCAGTGGAGATGTGTTCTCTGGCGTAACAAATCATGCTTCTCTGTCTGGCAATCTGATGGACGTGTCTGGGTTTGGCAGTTGCCAGGAGTACGGTACATGCCTGACTGCATTGTGCCAAGTGTAAAGTTTGGTGGAGGGGTGATTGTGGTGAGGGGTTGTTTTTCAGGGGTTGGGCTTGGACACTTAGTTCCAGTGAAGAGAACTCTTAAGGCTTCAGCTTACCAATATATTTTGGACAATTTCATGCTCCCAACTTTGTGGGAACCATTTGGGGATGGCCCCTTCCTGTACCAACATGACTGCACACCAGTGCACAAGGCAAGGTCCATAAAGACATGAATGAGCGAGTTTGGGAGGAGGAACTTGACTGGCCTGCACAGAGTCCTGACCCCAACCCGATAGAACACCTTTGGGATGAATTAGAGTGGAGACTGCAACCAGGCCTTCTTGTCCTACATCAGTGCCTGACCTCACAAATGCTCTTCTGGAAGAATGGTCAAACATTCCCATAGACACAGTCCTAATTCTTGTGCACAGCCTTCCCAGAAGAGTTGAAGCTGTTATAGCTGCAAAGGGTGGGCCAACTCAATATTGAACCCTACGGACTAAGACTGGGATGCCATTAAAGGTCATGTGCATGTAAAGGCAGGAGTCCCAATACTTTTGGCAATATAGTGTATGTGAGAGATTTTATACTATGAAATCAATCTTTATTCTGTCATACAGAAAGTGATAACAGTTATAAATAAAAAAAAGTGTACCTAGTTAACAATGAATAAGAATAAGAATTCTGCCTTATACAGCACATTTCAAATTATATAATCTGTATTGTTTTCATTACAGGCAGTTCAGGAAGCAAAGCAGTTAATCTTAGCTGGTTTGAAAAAGGCAGACAAACCTTCTGATGTCAAAGCATATCTTTTATCCCTGAAAAATGCCAATCTGCCAGAAGGGATTCCAGTGCTGCTGAAATATTCAGAATCTGGGGAGGGGCCTGTCAGCAGCATTGCGGTCAGCGCACTTGAGAATTATGACATCTCATTCATCACTGATGAGGTAAATTACTATGCAGGCATTCTGCACATTTCCAACTTACATATGACATAGAGATAATGAAGAATATAAACAACAAAAATCCTATAATACCAAGGAACAAATAGCAGTATTCCACAGCAACCAATCGGAAAGTCACTCTAAAGTGTATGTCCAGTCAAAACTTTTTCTTAGTTTTGAGTATAGTGGTGGAAAGGTTACAACCACTGTCATGTTTTTATTGCTCTCCTGAGCTCTTTTAAGAGAGATTTCCACTAATTTTCTGTCTTTCTGACAACTTTTCTCAGAAAGGAAGTGAGGGCAGCAACACAGAGAGAGAAAGAAGAGAAGGAGAAGCTAGAACCCCCATCAGATTTGTATTTCTGTCTGTGTCCTTGATATATATTTTCCATATTTTCCTGTTAAGTGAAATCATTGTTAGATATACAGAAGTTTGGTTAAACCTCTCACAGAGCCCTGGATAGCAGTAAAAACCCGACAGCATTCCAACCCTTACCTACTCTATCCAAAACCAAAAATGTTACAACAAACACAGATTATATGTATATGCTACTTTATTGTAAAATCTGCTGAAACTAGGTGATCAAGCCAGCATCTACCTTCAGGATGTTATCAAAACTTCAGTCTTACTGGGCTTCCAATATAATGGAAAATAAAGATGTGTCCATGTGGCAAATCCGAAAACCAGAAGGGTTTATTTCCAAATAGCAGGTACAACCACACTGGCAGTTCAGTTCAGAAGGCATTTCTGGATTGATAGCATTGTTCTTGGCGTTTGGAAAGTCAACCTCCTGGTTTTTGGTGTTTGCTGGGTGTACCCTCCTTTTTTCCTTTATAATGTTTTCTCGTGTTAGAAAAAGAAAGCTAACATTTCAAAGGTTTGCTCAAGACAACACATATTAGCCCTACATACACAGAAGTAATATAATTTAAAGCAGAACTAAACCCACTGATTTAACTAAGTTCTAAAACAGTAACATTCAAGGCATAACATGAACGATAACTGTAAAGGTTACTTGTGCTCTCAACTGAACTGTCAAGCCATCAAATAACTGGTGTCATAACTGATCAAATGTGCAGCACCATGGCAACTACAAATTAAACAGAGGCTAAAATGAAGCTTCAATAACCGATAACCTACCTACCACTACCCATACCAAACAGTTTTTTATGCTGTTTATTATGCAAGGAAGATTATATTTTCTAAATGGAAAATGCCGGAGCCTCCTACAGTTTCGGCCTGGCGTTCCATGATCAATGCCGTTTTGCCTATATACAAGCTGACCTACATGGGACATAATTTCCCCAAAAAGTTTAGCAAAATTTGGTTGTTCTGGGTGGAAGCGAGACACCTTACGCTGTGACACTTTATTTGAGCGCTCTCTTCCCCTTGGTTGCTTAGTCGCCTCCCATCCCTGGCACTTCCCTGAGTGAGTTTTCTGTATGCGAGTCCCTCCCTGGATGTACACTTTCCTCTTGGTCTACCCTATTTCTTTTCATTTCTGCCTGCTGTTTTCTTCTCCTTCTACTCCTATATTTCCTTCTACTGCCTAAGTTTCCCCTTCCTCCCCTCCCCCCTCCCTCCTTTCTTACCTTCCTCCCCCCTTCCTCAGGCTATATTGTTCTATTATGTAATGTGTTACTTGTTGGTTCTTTGTGACCTGCTGTTGATTGTTTGAAGTAAGCAATTTTTGGTTGATGCTTCTGTTGTGACACTCATGTTTCTCTTTTTCTGTAATAATGTCATGGTGATTCACATGTATCATGGTTTATTATTTTAATAAACATTCTTTCTGTTAGAAAAAGGAGCTTCCTTGGCTGTAAAGGATAGGTGGGTTTAATTCCCCTTTAAGTACAATATAGAGAAAAATTATAATCTTAATCATGCTATACAGGACACAGGACTGTTATTCATAGGCAATGGGTATATGCTGCTACCCTCAGGTGATTGAACACTGACAAAAATGTTTTGCTAGGGCAGTGTTTCTCAACTCCAGTCCTCATGGACCCCCAACAGGTCATGTTTTCAGGATTTCCCTCAGATGAAACAGCTGTGGTAATTACTAAGGCAGTGAAACTGATCAAATTACCTGTGCAAAATAATGGAAATCCTGAAAACATGACCTGTTGGGGGTCCATGAGGACTGGAGTTGAGAAACACTGGGCTAGGGTCACCCTCTAGAGCTGGCCCTTATAACCGCACTGATTCTCTGAGGCTCCAGTATTTTGCTAGTGCCCCTAGGTTCCTCAGGAGAAGTATTTTATAAACCACTACATTTTTTAAATCTGAATCTTCTATCAACATCTGACTGCTTATTGTTTTGCACTACCTAGTAGTTTCTGGACCTGTTCCCTTGGTGTGTACCTCGGGGACGGTACCAAAACTCAACTGTAATGTTTGCTTTGGGCATTGGATCCTCCATTAGGTGCTCACCTTGACACAACGTGCAATGTGTGAAGTTAGCTGCAGGGTGCTATGCAGATCCACAGTTATGGTCCATTTCTATGGGTTCAAGAACTTGAAGAACCTTTCAGGGGTATGCCCACCATGACGTAGGAAGCCTGGACAATATTAGGCCCAGAACTGTAAATAAGGCAAGCCTGGATTTCACTGTATATGGACTCCAGTCCCTTGTTTTAAACAGCACCGTGCACAGGTCATAGCACACTATTTGGTTTAGTGGCCAGAAGTGTTAGGGGTGTTATTCACTTTATTGTGCTGCCATTTTGTCTCTAACACTTCTCCCATTGCCTGACTCTGGCTCCCTTTTGGACAAGCACCATCTACTTATCCCACAAAGGCAGATTTCTCTACGACTATGTATGATTTCTTTTCGAGCCTTCAGTTCCAGAGGCCAAAAATGCTACACAACCTTTTTTCCCCCTGATCCTGTTCAGAAGTCAGAAGCAGAACCTCATTAAGATATTAAGGAAAGTACTGAGGTCATTATTTTCATAGTGAAGTGGAGGCAGCAGAGGGTTTCCCTTCCTTTGAAGCCTATGGCCTTATGCCAAAGGCTTTCCATTATGGACACACTTATTAATAAGGTGTGCACGAGCCTTTTGCCTAAAGGCACCTGATTCTCCACAGCCAATACAGAGGCTTTTCACATACATGCACAGATTGATTGTGCACTTTATGAGACTTGGCTCAGCCATGAAAAGGTTTATACTTCATCTAAGCTTTATGCTGATCTTTATCCTATAGAAAAGGATTTATTTTTTTAAATGGTCAGTTCAGGTAGTGGGTCCTGTCATGTCAGTTCTCAATAAACACAAATAGTAAATAAAATAATAAAATAACAATAACAGTGCAGCAATTAAAAAATGTACCTATTGAGGATATTAAAACCAAAAAAGAAGATTGCCTGTGGAACATACCATCCACCTATAGACTGTAACCAAGAGAAGCACAAATAATTTGAAGTAATACAAACAGCCAACAGGGGCGTGTGAGGTTAATTCATGCATGAAAAGAGAAACAATGTTGCAAATGGATAAGACTGTATGTCTGTATGTAAACATGGACAATAGTGAAAGGATATAAAGGATAAAATTATATCTCTCAGAAAATGAGATACTATCACACTCAAAACAATATATAAATTAAAAACCTATAAATAAGTCCTGGAGATAAAGTTGATTGCTAAAAACTGAGGCTTCATGTGCACCAGCAGCTACTAAACTTGAGTTTAGGAGCTTTTGGCATATTTTGCCAAAGCTCCTAAACTTAGCTCCATAAAAGCTATATGTCCATGTACACATAGGCTTTTAACAGAGTTTAGGAGCTGTCGCGTTTAGGTCAGGTTAAACCTCCCTCTCCTAAATGCGAAAGAATCGTGTTCAGGATAGGAACGTTTTGACCACCGACCACAGGAAAACGCAAAATGCGGCAAAACCACTGCAAAGCCGCAGCACCGTAGTTGACGTGTTTTACCTCGATTTGCATTTTCCTGCGGCTGATGCTCAGGGTAGGCTCGTGTACATGAAGCCTAACTCTAGCTGCTGGCTGTGCTGCTGCCTTGAGTGTTGGCTTGCGAGAGAGAGCAGGATCTAAAGCAAACATATGGAATTTCTCCTTTCAGTTACATGCCAGTTCCCCTCCTGTGCTTGTGAGTGCAAGTCTTATTGATTTTTATTTTGCTTTACTGAATACAGTAATACTATGCTATGAGGCTTCTTGGTGCTCCTTTCTCTCTTTTGTTTCCTACTGAGGATGTTTCTTCCTTTAAGGTTTCTGTTGATAGGCTTCTTGAAGGCCTCTTAAATGCTTCATTTTAGTCTTACAAGTCCAGCTCTGCAACAGGCAATTGCTTTTTGCCAAACTATCACCAACTGGTTAGGAAGAGACCAGGAACTTGTCTTTGAAGACCCTGCTCTCTTAGTGCAATTACAGCTAATGCTTTCAGCCATGTAGTTTTTTGTGTTGATGCTCTAGAGAATGTCAATCAACAAATCTCAGGAATCTCTCTTATCTCTGTGCACATGTGCAGAATTTTGTGACTAAAAGCTTGGTCTGCTGAATACTCTCGTACAAAACATCTGCCATTTGGACTTTCCTTTGTACCCCAAGTGTTCAAAAAGGTGCTTGCCTCAATTTTGTCTCTTCTACGAATCCAGGGTATTCATGTCACAAGTTATCTGGATGACCTGTTGAAGAACTCATCAGCATACAGTATCTTGTTTGCCAATATCCATTGGACTATTCAGTCCCTTCAAACCTTTCAACTTTCCAAAGTCTACTGTACAGCCCACACATCATCTGGGGTACCTAGGTCTAATCTTGGAAACAATCCATGCCAAAATCTTCCTCCCTCAGCAGAAGATGTCCTCCCTGAAGTTCAGTTCTCTGACCCTTGGTTTGCAATAGTACCCCTCAATTTGCTACAGCATGAGGGTTCTGAACATTATGGTGATATCCTTCAAGCCAGTTCCCTTTGTGCAATTTCACTTCAGATCCCTTCAATCCAATAACCTCAAGACAAGGACAATTGGATTCAATC